AATTAATGAACTCCAAAGAAGAGACAAGTGTGTCAAAAACAATAGACGTTTTCTTGCAAGAGTCCAATGTAATTGAATTAAGTTTGCCTTTGACGGTTACAGTTGAGTTCTCGCATTTGAACAAATACACAACATTGTTCATTTCAACATTATCAACTACTAAACCATGATTATTCTTCTGGTACTCCTAAGAATCACAAATTCGATTGTACAATGAAAAAAAAAAGATGCAGTAGTTACATACAATTAGCCACTTTTTGCCATCTCTAGCAAATACTGGAGACTTATTAACTGTTGCAGCAGGCTTAGAACCAACAGGGGACACATTCGTTGGTGGCTTGAAAGGAACAGGACCTTGACGAAGAGTTGGGTTCTTATGAGTCTGCATTTCAGATGTCACCTTCTTCAAACCTTAAAAAAATACAATAAGACTGTTGTATATGCTAACTAAGAAATCATCACCTCTGGTGATATTTTCACCCTGATTAATTTCTGCAAAGAGAGCAGAACGATCAACTCCAGGATCGTCAGATATGTGAAAGTTTTCAAAGCTTGGTGGTGGTGGGCATCCAGGTGGAGGTGGAGGTGGAATAGAACCACCACTTGTGGGAGCAGAACCTTTACCAGACCAAACTAAACCTGTAGTATGATACTGCTTCACAAAGCTCTGAAAGTATACAAGATTAAATTTTAATATCACACAAAACAATTTATTGTGACTGCCTTACTTGTAATTCAGTGAGAGTTTCAATCCAAGCTTTAACCCAATCGACATGCCTCTTATCTTTCTCTTTCCAATCCTTCAGAACTCTGTTGGTATAGAATTGGCCAGCATCATTCATTTCCTTAATGTATGGGGCTGGAGCTGGACTCTATAATTTAAAATAATGTAGAAAAGGTTTTTTTTGGTCTTATAAAGCAGTACATACAATAGTGACCCATCCTAAGGCAGGAATACTTTCACTTATAGCAGACAGATGATTGAAAAATGGTGAAGTACGATGCTTTTCACGATAATCCTGGATATTAGAAATTTGTTGACTTGTTGGCTGAAGAAAGGCAATCTGGTCAGCTTGAGCTGGTTGCCTATTTTGACTAGCAAAGACAAGGTATTGAAACTGGGCATCAAAGGCATTCTTCACATATTTGCTTTGTTCAGCAACATCTCCACCTATTTGTAGGGAAATGTTTAAGTAATGAGCCAGAGGTCCTTGAATGATGTTCTGAAATCCTTGCACACTCATTGTAATGCTCTCACTGTCCTGTATAACTGTACCAGAAATTGTTATTTCACTGGAAGTTATAGGTTGGGAAACTTGACTAGAATTTTCTCTCCTGTTAATTATCGATAAGAAAGTAACCATTAACATAATAAGTGGATAAATAGTTACGTTTTAACACACCAAATCAATTTTTGATTTACGATACTGATTTTAATTCTCAGCTATGTTGAGGTTATGTTTAGGATTGTTTATTATTATAACTTTTGCTTATTAATTAGTTGAAAGTAAAAATTATTCTGATATAAAGTGCTAAAAACGACTTACGTATATTTTTGAAATGGTAAGCAAATGTTTTCCAATTTTGTTGCAACGTTTTCCAACCTTGAAACAAGCGCTTCTAGTTCAGAATTAAACTGCTGGCAGAATTCACCATCATTTACTGAAAAAATAAATACGTAAAATTATACAAAGGTCTACTCTAAATTACAAGTCCAAAAACGGTAACGAAATTATTATTACTTACTAAAATTGGAGAATTACATTACAACGTTACAACTGACAGAGCGAAAGTAGGTGAAAATTACATTTACAATTAGACAACCCATCGTACAGATGATTCATGAGTGGCCGTGAATGATGTGTAGTATTACTATTTTACACACCGGTGAAAAACATTTTTTATTGATGGAATCATATAAAATACAGCACTGGTTACTAATTATCTATATGATTGTAAATGACTGATGTGATGATTAACAAAGTAAAGGCAGGCAAGGTGACTCAAAAAGTAAGGATGCAGGCAATTTTCTTTCGGCATAATGCAAAGAAAATATTAATATTAGTAACTATTAACTAGGCACTATAGGTAGGTATTTTCTATAATTAAATTACAGAGGAAATCCTTGTAGTAATATATCGACAACATTTAAATATGCAAAAATATTTAAAATAATACATTAATAATTTTTTAACTAATATGATCTAATAATAAAATAATATATTGTTCGAAAATTACCTATCTATAAACATCGCCTCCAATAATAAATATCATTTCCAATGATTACCGGTAGCAACACTAATAAAGGTTCGTTAAGCGATATTACCTATGTTTAAATAATTTGACAATTTACTATTTCTTAAATAATTGTCTCATCTACTTATGACTAATCGTTATCAGAATAGTTAGCAAACTGAAAAATTCATTATTTAAAAAGTATGATACAGTTTATGAAGTATTTTTAAGTCATCGAAATCACGAATAGGGCTTTAAAATGATAAAATTCAACACTAACGTACCTTTTATATTAAAAGTTGGACACTTTATAAAAGCATCATTTCTTTTCGCTATAAGAATCTGAACTGAAAATATCAGTCGGATTTGTTTAGATGAGCAAATACCTTATTTTTGGAATCCCTTGGCATACATATTTATAGTTATAGGAACACTAATAAACATACCAAATTGATGAACCTATATTTTGAGAACATAATATGATCAAACTTATTTAATTAAATATCTTTCATCAGTTATGTTCTTTTACTGGTAAATTTTAATATTTCAAATAAGGTTAATTAAAGTTGTTATTAATGCTGTAATATTAAGGTTCAGCATTATTTTTATAATGTGAAATTAGTGCCAAATGAAATAACTTACGATTACTTTACTTAGTGCATTCGTAAGCAAGTGAAACAGTATCTGTTTAAAATCGTTTGATTTCGATGTTGTCTATAAGTGATTATTAATATTATGTAAGTGTACCTTGTAGGACTAGGATTTATTTTTCATAACTATTCCACTCTGTCATCACTTACAAAACAACTTTAATTCTGACATAAACGCTATTAAAAATTTAAAATATTTTCCGGAACGTTTTGCAGTCGTCTAAAAATAAAACTCACGGAATAGCGGAGATTACAGCAATCATCTTATCAGTTATGATAAAATATTGTATTTTTATTAGATAAGTTGAACATATGGCAANTTTTTCTTAGATAAAAAAGTACCTGCTGAACAGCTCTCTGAGTAGCTGTGTCCGGCGACTGAGACTCTTTCAAAAGTGTTAAAATTTCTCGTAAGCCTTCTTCTTGAGGTGTCCACTCCATTTTCATTTTTCTTAATTGCTGTTTTAGTCTGTAGTCCTTTTATTATTCCAAGTTTAAGTAATAACATCAAACAACATATCAAATGTATCACAAAACACCACAAGCTTCAATAACACATAAAGATCTGCTTCTTAGTAGAAGGGGAAAAAACAGGATACGGAAACACTGAATTTAATTTTAAAACATGTTTGAATTTTAAGTATACGTTTACTTTTTATTATATTTCGAATATTATTGATCTATCACTTTGTTTAAATCTAACTGAATTTAGAAATACGTAAAATGTGCAACATTAATTAATTTTATTACATAGATCTTAACATTAAGCTTATCTTTGACGTTAGGGTGAATACTTCACTACATTATCTCATAGATAATATTACCAATAGAGTTAAGTTCAATGAGCATAGTCATAGATCACAGTTGTGTGGGTTGTGCCAATGTTGTCATTTGCTCTATATGTAGTGTTTACATAACAGCGGGGTTTCGGTTTTTTCTTGAAATATTATAGTATACAGTGTGATTCTTTAAAAATTTGTGCAAGGCAGTG